CACCACAAAAGAGCTAGGTGCTTATTCTATATCATGTTTCTGGCTTCATTTTATTTTCATATGAACATGGGAAAACTAAACTTAGACGTCAGCGAGGCGCTGGTTTCAGCGAGATTTGTGGCCGCAGGCGAGGCGCTGGCCGTGGCGAGGCGTTGGCTGTCGGCGAGGCCCTGGCCATCGTCGAGGAGCTGTCCGTCGGCAAGCAAGTGGCTGGAGTCGCAGGTCGAGCAACTTACTTTGATGCGGCGCTAAGAGGTCGCAGGCTGGGAGGGGGCTGAGGTTTGGGATTGTCTGGACCGATTAGAGAAGAAGGATATTAGGAGAAGGATATTAGGGATTTCAAAATTTTAGAGTTCTATTTGCTGCGGTCGAAGCTAGCACCGCAGCAAATAATAGAGAAAATCTAAGCTTTAGCGGCGGTTAACCTCTACCCGCAACATAGGAGCCCGAAAAAAATTAAAATTCAAAAGATTATACCTGTTTGCTGCGGTTTGGCTTCGACCGCAGCAAAATGTTTCAAATTTAATTTTCTAACTTATTGATGCGATTCCATAACGACCGCAGCAAATACCTATAATTTTTATCTATTTGCCGCGCTTTAACTCCGAAACGCAGCAAATGAGTAGCAGCAAATAAGGAAAATTCTAGTAGTGGTGGTGCAAGAATGGCGATCCCTTTCCACAAGTTGGAAGGTGAAATTTATAGTTTAAAAGGAAATACATGGGCATCAAGTAAAATATGATAGTCTAATAATATGACGACACGTGTAAAACTCGATTGGTAAGAGAACATGTATAGATGGCTAATTGGTATTGTAGATAACTAAATTGATTCCCTTTGTACTGGACTGCGTAAGGAAGCCATACATGTAAGCCTAGAACCTTTTGTACATAACCGCCTAGGTGACCTTAGCCCTAGACAGTTGTCATGCTGATGATGTAACTACAACTGCTTATGCGGAACTTAGGTACTGAAAATAGCTAAGTCCATAATCTTCCCCGAGGCCACGGGCTCTGAAGAAATTGAGCTCGAGGGCAGTGCATTTTCTTAAGAAGAGGTTGGCCTCAATTCACTTATGTGAAGTAATCAATGCTCTTCCTAGTTTTTTGGTTTCGTGGGGCCCTAGTTGACTTCAAGCTCGGTCATATATGGGCTCGGAATTTGATGTTGACTCTGGTGGGCGTTGAGCTCATTCTCGGATACAGTTTTGGACTAATCTCGACAATCTTAGGACTGATTTGGGAACCGACCACGATGGGCTCGAGCTCGAATGTAGTTTTGGACTTATCTCGATGATCTGAGAACTATTTATCAGGGAACTGACCTCGGTGGACACGGGCTCGGCCTTGGTAGGAAATGACTTGGTGACTTATGGAGATCGTTCATCATTTGTAAGTGTTGAGAGCCTCGGGATATATGGGAATATCCTCCGTCATTAGAATATATTTCAATTAACTAACTTTTGAATCATAATAATTCACAATACTAAGAATTTTAACACTAAATACAATAAAATCTTATTGTATACGTTAATGGAATTAATTCACAATACTAAGATTTTTAACATTAAATACATGCACTAAATCATTACGTTAATGACATTAATTCACAATACTAAGATTTTGAAAATCTAATAATACACAATAAATTAACTAACATTTAAATTAAATGAAATTCAAATAATTGACAATAATAATTCATTGACCACCTACAAATTCACACTATAGTAATGTTTAAATCCTAACTTAAATCATTATAAATCCTAAATTAAAGGCATTAACAATAATTGCTAAAATTAAGTATATATTTCTAAACAAATTTCAAATAAACATTTTAATTAGCAAAAATGTGAAAGGCATTTTAATTGAATTACTATTATTATTAATTAAAAATATAAAAGGTTTTTGACTAAAAGGCATAAACAAACCTAATCTTTTTACAAACCCATTTGAATTAACTAATACTACCTCCGTTCTTAAATAAGTGCAACATACTAAATTTTACACGATTCACATGTTCTACTTTGACTACATTTTATTTATTGAGGTATTAATATATGTTTTTGAAAAAAAATTACTAAATTTATTTGTCTCATTGTAAATTTTCAAAAACTGATTTTTTAATTTCTTTTAATAATAGGGAGTTATATATATTAATGGTGAAAGTTGTGTCTCGGCAAATGCGAAATGTTGACTGTTGCACTTATTTTAGAACGGAAGAAGTATTTAAATTTAATTAATATTATCAACTGAAATCCTAAATTAACAGTATTACCAATAATTGAAAATTTGATATACATTTCCAAACGAATTTCAAATCTATGCACAATAAATTATAATATCACTAACATTTGAAGTTAAATATATTGTTAATTAATTAACAATGTTAATTAATTAACAACCTCACTAAAAATTTTAATTATTTGAAACGAAAAAAATCAATATTTAGCATTAAAAAAGATACATAATTCAAATGACAAACCCTATCTGCATAGGCAGGGAAAATGACATAACATTACATCCTTCAATCTTTCAACAGTTATTATATTATACTCTGATTGAATTTCAACCGGTATGAGTTGAATAAAACTGTTCTGGCATATATAAAACACTATGTCACGGATTGTTCCGTGACAACCTCTATCAGTACAACATTGATTCGGTGACCGTTGGAAATAGCAACTATTGAGCTTTGTCACGGATTTTGTCACGGATCCGTCCCTGGCAAATGAAAAAAATTAATAATTTTGTCACGGATTTGGTTCGTGACAAAACGCCGGAATAAAAAAAATACGCTGGCATAAGTTTTCGGTCACCGGAGCTGTGTTGTCGCGGAAAACGTCTGTGACAAAGGTTTTTGGTGACATGGAAGATAAATCCGTGACAATCCTTTCACAGACCAAATCTGTGACAAAAATCTGTGACAAAAACACTGTTTTTGTAGTGAGGGGGGCTGGGGAACAGTGACAGGGTTGTGCAGCAGTGATGGCCTGGACAGGGGCGACGACAGTGGATGTGGCAAGGGCAACGGCTGTGTATGGGTCAGGGGCGCTGCCGTGGTGGCTGTGTACGGGTAAGGGACGGCGGTGGACAGGACAGGGTGGAGGCGGAATAGGGACAGAGGTGGCGGCTCGGTTCGGTGAGGGGACGAACGTGTTAGCAGCAAGCGCCAGATACAGTTGAAATCTAAGATGTATTATAGTTCGCCAAAAAAGTCACTTGAAAATTTTCCAATGATCACAGTGACTTGTTTCCCGGTGACACTAGGCTAGTGACATTCAAAAATGTCATAAAAATCTAGTAGAGACACATGACAATAACATAAAAGAATTCGCATTGACGTCATGCTTTTTCAAACATATGACCTTCTTAGTCACTTTTTTGTCCTTTTATAAAAACGGTCACATTTTTGAAAATTGACTTCAATTTAGAATATTCAAGGAAAAAACAGATAAAAATAGTGTATGAATATGAAATGTAATATACTTATTTCATTTAGATTAATAAATTTTTTGATATGAATTAATAAAGAATAAAAAATAGATTGAGTTGCAATTTAAGTTAAAAATAAAGAAATGTAAAATTACAATGACATTTATAATTATACTTTGATGTAGAAGGAGAAGAAAAGAAAAATAAAGAGGAAAAAGCCAAAGAAAAACAAAAATCAATCACTTTACTACTACAGGAAAGAAAAAGAAATACGTAGTAGAGTACATTACTGCCTTAATGAGATTGGTACGCCATTGTAATGATTCCACAATATAATTGTCCCATACGTATTGCTAGTTTAATTAACAACAAAATAAAATAATTTTTTAAGAGACTATTGGAAAAGTGATTTGTAGTAAAAGTTGTTAATGTTTGGGAATAGAAGTGATTTTAATTAAAATGTAAAAGTTGGAGTGTTTGATAAAAAAAGTGATTCCTAATGTAGTATTTTATTAAATTACAAAAATAGCCTCCACTAATATAATCATGCCCCTACGGTAAGATGCTCCATCAGTTGCCAACATTCAAAATGAGCTGTTAAAGCAAAATAGTAGGCATACAGAATACAAATGAAAAGGGAATTCTACAGAGAGGTAATGGTGGCGGCGAAGCAGATCTGCTGCAGCGGGAGTGGCGGCGGTGGACTGGTGGTCTGGGTAGCGAAGCATATCGGCCGGCTGCAATTTTTGTAGGAGGGGAGGTGGGTGTCGCGTAGGGATAAGTAGGGTTGTATACGAACCGAATCGAGCCGAATAGTAGGAATTTGTATTTGTTTAATTTTTTCGAATACGAATTCGAATTCAACTATGAAACGAATATTAATTTTGATTTGTATTTGTATTTGTTTAATAATACGAATAGTTAACGAATCTTGTACGAATATCGAATAAATTTGATGAGCATAGGTTAAATATTAGTCAAATATCACTTTAAAATAAATTTATTATATTTTTTATGTTGTAAATGTACGCTATGACTTAATATGTGTTTTTAGAATTTAAGTTCAATGGATCAATGTAGTTTTAGATTGTGCACGATATACTTAAGTGAATCAATTTTATGATTAACAAATATAAATCTATTTCAAACTTTTTGAAATAAACACTAATACACACATGTTAGAAATTATACTTATAATGTGTGAAATAAGTTGATAATTGTATATATCAAAGGCAAATGACTCTAATTTTATTCTGCGAATCAAATACATAATTATTTGTATTGTATTTGAAAGACATTTGAACCAAAAATCCGATTTGTATTCGTATTTATACTCTGACTTGTTACAAATGGACTTAGAATCTATATGCATAAATGTATATATGAACTACACTTTAGGGTATTGCTATCTTTTACTCCGTAAAAGTTATTATAGTGTTACTCCGTATTACTATTATTATTATTATTATTATTATTAATATCACTATTATTAATCGAATATATTTGATTAATATTCGAATCGAATACACTGATATTCTTATTTGTATTTGATAACAACTCGAATCAAATTTAATATTCATATTTGTATTTGAATTTTTCGAATTCGAATCGCGAATCGAGCACAAATTATTTGATTCATTTACAACACTAGGGATAAGGGAAGATGATGCTCTGTACGACCCTTCTTGGGGTAAGGGTACTTTTGGAGTAGTTTATATATTTAGAAATAAAAACATCCCAAAAGTTGAACTTATTTAGGAAAATACCAAGAAGTGGAAAAAAGCATGGTCGGGCCTTCTTTTGACTTTTTGCTTAAAAGTGATTAAATTAAGCTGAATTTTTTTGCAAACACCAAATTTAGCTTTTACTCTAAAAAAACTGATAGTGCTTTTTTAAAACAATACCAAACACACCTTAAATAATGTACACTCACGTGCAAGTCACAATATCATTTGTAAATACATAAATTAGGGTTGACAATGGTAAAACCTCCGTCAACAACCATGTTTTCCCCATTCAGATACCTCGATTCGTCACTTGCCAAGAAAAGCGCCGCCTCCGCCACATCCTCCGCCGTGAGCTCCTCCCCTTTGAACGTTGAATAGACCTTACTCAACTCCTCCGCCGGCATCTTATAGTACCCCTTGGTCAACGGCGTCTCCAAGAGATGCGGCGACAAACAGTTGACTCGGATCCCATATCGTCCCAGATCCACCGCCGCGTTCCTCGTTAGCCCCACCACGGCATGCTTCGAGCTCGTATACCCGTAGGGCGCAACGCCGCCGCCGACGGAGGCGACGCTGGCCGTCGTGAGTATGCTGCCGCGCCCATTAGGGATCATAGCCCGGGCGGCGTGTTTGATTCCGAGGAATGTTCCGACGAGGTTCACACTAATGACCCGCTCGTAGTCGGACTTCTCTTCGTCGAGAATGCTGTCCCGGAAAGTCCCTCCGATTCCGGCGTTGTTGTGCATGATGTCGAGCTTGCCGAACTTAGAAACGGCGGCGTTGACCGCGTTGACCACGTCTGGCTCCTCCGTCACGTCGCAGTGGACGAACTCGGCGTCGAGGTCGTTGCATACTTTTTGTGCTAAATCGTCCTGAACGTCGGCGATCACCACCTTAGCCCCGTGCCTCGAATAAAGCCTCGCCGTCTTCTCGCCGATGCCGCTGGCGGCGCCGGTGATCAGCGCCACCTTTCCTTCCAGCCTAACAAGGAGATTTACGTTTTTAAATTGGACAGTTTATGATACTCCGTATGATCAGAGTTGATTAAAACTTAAACCACATTTATTTGGAAGAATCAAGTTTCACAATAAAAAAATATAACAGATCAAAGGAAGTTCCTTCAAAAAACTTCAATTACTAATGTACTCTCTCCGTCCCCGGGAGAAGTTCCCGGGTTGACTTTCACACATTTTTAGGAAATAAAGTTACTGAGAGGTAAATTTTACTGTTTTGCACTGTTTCGACACTGTTTGGCACTGTTTCGACACTGTTTGGCACTGTTTTGCACTGTTTGGCACTGTTTTAATGTAGGATAACTTTCCATTTAGGGAAATGGGAAGTTTCTTTTGGGACATCCAAATAAGGAAATTGGGAACTTCTCCCCGGGACGGAGGGAGTAATTTTTTTCTAGCTTCCTTTACTTCTATTGTATTGTTAATCATCTGTACTTCCAACTATGTATTACTCCGTAATAAATTAGGGAGGTGTTCCGGCAGGGCGGCACCCCCATGGTTTGAACCGGGAAAAATGTTGATTAAAATTTGAAGTCAACTTTGACCAATTATAACTTTTCAAATACTATACTCCGGTTCTTAATTAAGTTCCTAGTTTGACTTCACACATATTAAGAAATAAATTTGACTTTACTGTGGAGTGCACTGTTTGAACACTGTTTGACACTGTTTAAACATTGTTTGACACTGTTTGGTACTGTTTGACACTGTTTGGCACTGTTTTGGTGTAAATTATTTGCCAAATAAGGAAAGGTTTGAAGTAGAAACTTTAATATGGACCATCCCAAAACGGAAAGTAGGAACTTAATTACGGGACAGAGGGAGTATATACTAATCAAAATCATGGTCTAAACTATAACACTATTAATTAATCTGAAAAGTCAAAGATCACAAAATTTTAATCAACTATATATCAGTATATCACAATATCTATGTGTACCTTCTTGCAAGCCCGGATGCCATTGGATCAGTCCGGGTGAAGGTAAAACGCCTATAACGACCACACAAGAGGAGAACTTGATAGAATAGTACTTGAGCGAATTGGAAATGACAAGATATGTTGAAGCGCAGAACTAACACGGCTCTTATATACACCACCCCACCCGATCTAAGGGGAAATTTCAAATCTAGGACCTTTGAACTTTTGGTAGTTTGCATCGAGATCCTCAATTTTTTCACTATTCATGAAATATCAGCTTTAGCTTATAGGAATTTTATTATGATATTTTAAATTGAACTAATTTAATTTTAGTGTTTTGTTAAAATTGATCTAGTGTGGTCTAATTTAAAAGTTTATTCTATTGTGATCTAATTTTATTTGGTCTGATGTGAAGTGAAAGTGGCAATCAATCCAATTAAAAACGTACTTCCTTCATATCGTTTTATTTGTCTTACTTTCCTTTTTGGGTTGTCCTAAAATAAGTGTCTCCTTTCCTTTTTTGGAAAGAAATACGTGGTTCACAACATACATTTCATTTTATTATACTCATTCTCAACCATAACTTTTACCTTTTTAACCACTTTATTAAAACTTGTATCAAAATTAAAGGAGACACATAAAATAAAATGAGATGAATGTAGTATAAATTAAAATGTAACTAAAGTTTTTAATTTGTACAAGTGTATATGCTTCAAAAACTAAAGTTTTTAATTTGTACAAGTGTATATGCTTCAAAAGCTAGAAAAACATCGGGTCCAACTCGGTACGTGAATGTCTCATGTAATGATTCCTCCTACACAATATGACCACGACTGACTTTTATAGTTTCAAACATGGACTTTCAGAATAGCGCCCGCAGTGTTTGACTAAAGAGGTAAAGCAATGTCGCCACCGGATTTAGAGCTATAACACTGCAAATCTGCAATCGGCCGGAACATTAGTAAACACTCTTTTTCGGCTTATCAGGTTTATTGTCAACTTTTTACCCAAACACGTAACTTTTGTTTTCGCACGCTGAATTGTGTAATAATAAGAAAAAGTAAGGTTAACAAGGTTTCGTGGTGTAGTTGGTTATCACGTCAGTCTAACACACTGAAGGTCTCCGGTTCGAACCCGGGCGAAGCCATTTTTAGAGTCACAAAAATAAAACGCCTAGTTGGTTCGGCGTTGAGAAATTCTCCTCCTCTCTAGGATTATTCTCGCCTAACGGTTGGAATTTCCCTAGACTGTTCGAACACCGTGCTCTCAAATCTAACGATTAATCTTCGTTTTTCTTGATTCTCCTTGCTCGGAATTCTTCCTAGAACATTATTCCACACTTGGATTTAAGCTTTAGGGGATTTTTGAGTGGATTTGGGCGACAGAACGAAGTCTGGTTCGCAGATTATACTGTTCATCGCAGAATTCAATTTTGACTTCCAGCTCAAAACTAGACGATTGAATCTACAAAAGGAGCTTGGTTTGGGGGTCGCCTACCCTAGGCGAACCCAGGGGCACCAGTTTTGTAGCTTGTTGTTCATTATTTTGGAAAAAAACCAACTAGCCGTTAGTGCGAACTACTATTCACTGGCAACTGGTTTTTTCAAGATTTCTCTTTGCTGATTCATCTATTCTGAATTCTGAGCTTACTCTGGGGTTCGCCTCTTCCAGACGGTCAGTTTGATACCTATTGGAGCTGCTACAACGAAGGATTTCAAAAAACGGCTATTGTTCATCACTGTACATGTATGCGCAGGTATGAACTAGTTAACTTTTATTTCCTTTAGTTTGTGCAGGTTCTGGGTAAAACAAAATACACTGGGGGGCTCGCCATAAAGAGCAGACCAACATATATTTTTTCTGGAATTTTCTGAGCACTTTGTTTGGAGGGAGCTACTGTTCACCTTCTTCTTCATTGAGCATTCGCCATGACAAGGAAGAACAAGCAACTGCGGACCCCACCAGCGAAGGACAGAAATTTTGAGGAGAAAGTGAAGTACTTGGCCGCCAAAAAAGCTGCTATGGAAGAAGAGAAACTGAAAAAGAGGGTCACTCCAATTAAGGTTCTACCTTCATCGTTCCCGGTTGTTTCTTCGAATGCTGATGCTATTCATGCCGCGGCACAAAACACTCCGGGGGGGCTTACTCCCATTGCAGAAGCCTCTTCGAACTCCATGGGGGCCTTACAACTTGATGTCGTCTCGGTCAACTCCACGGAGGAAGGATCCAATGCCGCGGTTTCACCGAAGACTGGAGGGCATGACTTTCATGCCGCGGCGCAATTATCCATGGCCGCGGTATCACTGGGTTCCACAGGCAACACCTGCTTTGCTGAAAAGTTGCTGGGTGGTGGGGCTACATCTTCTAATGCCGCGGAGCAAACCAAAGGCACCCTGGCTACTAAACAGGTCTTGGAAGTGGTTTCCACCTCTTTTAATTCCACGGATGATAGACATGGGGAAACCAGTGATCAAACCGAGGGGTCTATTTCCCTTGGGTCTAAGGATACTGAGCCAGTGAAGAAAGGGGTTGAGAAGAGGGATGAACCAAAGCAGTGGAGCTCTTTATTCCGGGACAACCGTGCACCATCTCATGGGCTTAAGCTTGAGTATTTCCCTCCCACTGGGGAGAAACTTGACTTCTCCCACCTTGCGGTTCCCACTCTTGTTGATATTTGGGGCTTTTGCCTTGTGGGCCATTTTTCCGGTAGATTCCCCGGCCTTAAAGCTATATTTGATATGACAAAGAAATGGGGGGTCGAGGTTGATGTTAAACCCCATAAAAAGGGGTGGATTATTTTCAAACTCAAGAGTGAAGAAGACCGTTTGAAGGTTTTGGCCGAGGGGCCTTATGTTCTCTTTGGGAAGACTTTGTTTCTTAAGCCGCTCCCCGAGGACTTTGCTTTTGATTGTGATGAATTTCTCAAGGTTCCAATTTGGGTGAAATTCCCCAAATTGAACCCGAGGCTTTGGCATGCAACCGAGATGGGTATGATTGCATCCCAAGTTGGGGTGCCCATCACCACAGACAAGGTAACCCAAGATATGTATTTTACTAACTTTGCTCGTGTTCTTATTGAGGTGGATGTCTCCAAACCTCCGGTGCTTCACTTCCCTATCATCCCCCCTTCGGGTAAAGAGTATGAGCAAAGGGTTATCTATGAATCGTATCCAGAGTATTGCTACCGATGCAAGGAATATGGCCACCATCCCTTTGCGGGCTGCCCTACTTTAGCCAAAGAGGCTTTGATGGCTCACGAGGCTAACAAGAAGAGTGTGGTGGCTAAGAATGCTAATAAGGATGTGGCGCAACTCAAACTTTGTACTACCAAGGAGGCCTCGGTTTTGGACAAGGGAAAAGGCATAGCGGTGGATCCTCCTTTCATTGAGGCTCGGCGTGGGAAGGGAAAGGCTAAGAACAAGACTTATGTTTCAAAGTCTAACGCTAATAAGCCCCAACCAAAGCCGGTGGCGACGAACTTGGGGATTAACATTCCAAAGGAATTATTGACTCCGTCTTTGGCCATCAAGCCGAGCCCTAATGTCAAATTTTCTAAGGATCACCATGACCTTATGGTGGTAGCAGAAGATGAGAATGGCAAAGAGGTTTTGGAGAGGATGCCGAGGGGGTATGTTATTCGTAGCATGTATGAAATGGATTCCAAGGACATTGTGACCGGTGTCTTTCTGGATGAAAAGAAAAAGCCTCTTGCTACTATTATTGACTTTGATGAGCTTCCGGAGGGAGAGCATTTGGTCAAAGTGGGACCCGACCTCCAACCGGTGGCTACCGAGGATGCTCCGGGTGTCTATTTCACACATAGTTGTTTCTTGAAGCTACCGGGAGTTAGACGCAACTCCACATGGTATGATTTCGACCCTCCTATTTTTATTGCTAACGTTCTTTCCTTTTTTGATCCTAGTAGCAAGAACAATGTGAGCTACTATAAGGAATTCTTGAGGAGGAAACGTAGAAGTGAAAGGATGGAGGTGGCCGATGGTGGTGGATCCTCTACGGATCTTTATCTTTCTTGATGATGAAGCTCTTGGTATGGAATGTTAGAGGTTTAAACAAAACCTCTAAACATAATTTAATAGCTTCCTATATTAAATTGAATAATATATTACTAGTTTGCTTTTTAGAAACCAAAATGACCTTGGCCGCTTTAAATAACTACGTTTTAAATAAATGGCCGGGTTGGATTTTTGAAAATAATTTTGATCTAATTAGTGGGGGACGCATAGTTATCATGTGGAACCCTAACTTGATTAATTGTGTGTTTTTGGAAAAGGATAGGCAATTTTTGCATGCTAGATGTACTTGTCGTATTACACAAACATCTTATTTTGTGACATTTGTTTATCCGTTATATACGGTCCTTGAAAGGAAGGAATTGTGGGAACACTTGACCTCGGTTGGAGACCATTTGGTTGAACCGTGGATGGTTTGTGGTGATTTTAATTGCATTTCCGCGCCAAATGAAAGGGTGGGTCCTACCCCCCCTACGGCGTATGTCATGCAACACCTTTTTGACTTTAAACTCTCCAATAGCCTTCAAGATGCACCCTCCACGGGGGAGTTCTTTACCTGGAATAGAGGATCACTTTGGGCTAAATTGGACCGAGTTTTAATTAATGATAGTTGGGGACTTAATGGCATTGGTTGTAGGGTCCATTTCCATGAAATGGAGGTAGAGTTTGACCATACGGCTTCCGTTGTGTCCATACTCCTAAATTCCTCTTCTAGACCTAAACCATTTAAATTTTTTAACATGTGGCTAAAACATCCGGATTTTCCCAATGTGTTAGCTACGAATTGGAATAAATATTTTGTTGGAACGGCTCAATTTTCATTGGTAAAGAAACTAAAGGGGCTCAAAAGGCCCCTAAAGTTACTAAATACCATGGAATTTGGCCATATCTCCAACAAAGCTAAGATGGCGAAGGAAGAATTTAAGCGGCTACATAAACAAGCATTGCTAGACCCGGGGGATCTTGATATTAAGGCCCAATTGTCCGAGGCTTCAAAGAGGGCTATCTTTCTTGGTGAGGCCGAGGCAACCTTTTTCCAACAAAGGGCTAAGGCTACACATATCCTTGAAGCGGACAAGTGCACCAAATATTTTCATGCAATTGTAAAAAGAAATTTGGCAAGGAATACTATTTCTTCGCTTACCTTGGA